TATGTCATCTATAGCTCTCCAGTAATAGAAGATACGCCGTGGGCAGAATCTGTACGTTAAAGTGGTGCACAAAATGCGATATTGAAGGGAAAGTGCTGGCCAGAAGAAATGCACATACTAAGGAGAAAAGCTTGCAAAAATGCAGGGCCGCCTGTGTGCATGAAAAATAGACAGGCATATTCTTTCAGAAATAGGATGGAATAAGTGTGTGCTGGGGAAAATGTGAATGCCAATGGAAGCAAAGCAGAGCAAAGAAGCCTGAGGATGTGACTATACAGGGAGAGAAATGTGACTTTACTCGCTGAGAAGCTGGCCGTGGGGAATTCAGGTCTCCCACGGTCTGTTCAAATTAACTGGCCGCACAGGGAGAGGAGGAAATTGGCTGTGCAGTCTTGTTTTCAGCTTGTTAACGTAGCTCTCCTGTAGCTCTGCGGGAGGTGCTGCTACAAGAGAACTACTTAATAAGCTTAATAAGGCCCAAGTGGCAATTTTCTCCTCTTGTGTCTTTTCTTTTTCTCTTTCTGTCTAGGTGCCCTAAAGCAACAGCACTGGCACCAAGCTGGCAAACAGGAAGAATGAAAGAAAGAAATGGCATATTCTGCCCAGAGGAGAATAGTGGAGAGGAAAGGATCACAGTTCAACATCACCTGATTCCATGTAAATAGATACAATGGTTTTTTAAAAAGTAGATACTTCAGTGGTGGAGGCAAAAGCTGCGGGTTGATCCTCGTTTCCTTTTACATCATGTAGTCAACGGGGGAAAAAATTAAGTCAGCCCTTCCCAATCCCATAGTACTTCCCACATTTTTTTTTACAAATGTGTTTGCACCCTGATTTGGTGACTCCTAGAATGACATAAGTAAAAGAGTTCAAGAGAGATATATGATCAAATGTAGCAATTCTCGGTTACTTGAAAGATAGACCTACAGAGGAGGGGCAGGATCCGTTCTCCATCATCCCAGAGTGCAGGAGACGTAAGAATAGGCTCAAGCTACAGGAAGTCAGATTTCGGCTGAAGATCAGGAAAAACTTCTTATTTGTTAGAGCAGTACAACAATGGGATCCATAATCTTGTGGGTAGGGGGGGTTGAGCACTCCAACACTGGAAAGCATGGTATAGGCCACTAAAGCCCTTTCCAGGTGCAAACTTACCTGATTGTGCCCTGATAATATTGGCATTTTATCTGCTGTGCACATAGTTTAAGTGACTAATAGTGACATATTCAGGCTCTTCCTGTGGCATATTGTCTCTGTAGCAAGGTTTGTTTTTCCTGACTTGTCTCCAGGTGTTGGAATTTAGATCTATGGCAGATGATGGTGGAGTATAAAGGTGCTAGTTCCCCCTCTATTCGGCACTGGTTAGGCCTCTCATCTTGAGTCCTGTGTCCAGTTCTGGACACCACATCCAGAAGGATGACGACAAACTGGAGCAAGCTCAGAGGAGGGCAAGAAGGATGATGATCAGGGGGCCGGAAACCAAGCCCTTTGAGGAGGAAAGACGGAAAGAAGTGGGCCTGTTTAGCCTGGAGAAAAGACGATGGAGGGGAGAAAGGAGAGCACTTTTCAAAGCCCTGGAAGGTCGTCATCCAGAGGAGGAGCAGGATGCGCTTTTGATCCTTCCAGAGTGTAGGACACATAATAATGGGCTCAAGGGTTAGGAAGCCAGATTCTAGTTGAATATTGGGAAGAACGTCTTAACTGCTAGAGCAGTATGATGGTGGAACCCATGACTTTGAGGGGGGGGTGAGCGCTCCAACCCTGGAGGCCTTCAAGAGAAAATTGGACCACCCTCCATCAGATCTGCTTGGCTCTGGAGTCTTGCATTGAGCAGGGGTTTGGACTCAATGACCTTCCAACTCCATGGTTCTACGATTTGTTTCTTTTTCCCCCTCAAGTATTTATATTTGCCTTCCCATTATTAAAAAACCTATTATGTTTTTAAGAATGACCATCCTTTCCCCTCTCCCCCCGCCCCCACTTATGCCCAGAGGCCAAGCCGCTGGATTATCCCAGCGCTCTGTCCTTTCACCAGCCACGATGGGAGGGGAAGCTGAGGAAGGTTCAGCTGATGCCACAACCTTGAAGCCCCACATTAAACATGAAAATCATCCTCTTTTGCACGTCTTTTCTTCCTTTCCCCTCTTTCCTCCTGGACATCAGTGCACGCAACGCATGGGGAAGACATGCAGGACATTCTTTGCCACCTCCGATAGCAGGGGAGCGCGAGCAGGCCCTGTCTGTCTCACTCCTTTGACCAAGGCATGAATAGTAATCATTCCTGGCTCATTTGCAGGGAGCAGGATGAACAAGGAGCCCCAACGGGGGAATCGAACTCCCAGCCTCTGGCTCCGCAGGGAGCAGGGATGAACAAGGAGCCCCAATGGGGGAATCAAACTCCCAGCCTCTGGCTCCACAGGAGTGATCCAGTGCTTAAATGATAGGATCCAGGTAAATAAACCAGGGGTCGCAGACAACTGGATGTCTGGGAACACAGATTTTTCCCTGGCCTGCTGATGCATTTCAGGAACCGTGATCTACATGTAGAAATCCCCATGTTAATGCTGACTTTTCTTTTCCTGATAAAGCTGCCGAGGGGGCAGGAGACGGACATCTATAACGAGAAGGCAGACTAAAAGCCAGAATTTATTTTAGATTATTCCCAAGCTCCAATACACTTGTCCTCAAAGAGAGCTGACAAAGTATAAAAATGATTTTAAATGGATCTGTAGAACTGTTACGTTCTTGCCCGCACCAATAGCTTGTTAATAATGCATGCTATTCTCTCGCCTAATATTTCTGTCCATTCCCCTCCTCCACTTCCCCGTTTTTATGTTCCCACTGAAACCTAAACCAGGTTGGTCCCCATCAGGGTTGACCCATTGAATTGATGGGTTTAACTAAGAGTTGACTTACAGCCCAGTAGTAGTTGATTCAATGGGTCTCCTTGATCTGAGACGAGCACAGATTCTGTGCTTCTTCCATGCCTTTAGTCCTTCTTTGGTGTGGGGTGGCTGTGCAACGCTCAATCCCCTCGTTCTTGTTTCTCAGTGGGTTTGTTTTTGCCGATGTCCATGGTCCCTCATCACCTGAGTTTGATCTCAGGAGAGAGGACTTGTAGACAGGGACTCCTAACGCTAGTGACTGGTTCCATGGGTGACCTACTCGTAGCCCCAAGCCCCACCAGCAGAATCAGGCCCTGGCCAGCTGACTCAAGAGAGCCAGTGCAGTTTCATGTAGCCTTAACACAGCAGGGATGGGCAGCTGCTCCCTATCTGGGGACCATTTCCCCACCCTCAGCAGCTTCTAGCGACCTAGGAGACCCTCCGTATGATGCCAGAAGTGAGCAGAAGGCTAAGCCCCAGTCCTCCTTTGAGGGGAAAAATGAAATGAAAAAATGAAAATGCCTTTTTGGCTGAAGCAAAATGCTTTTCGAAGAGATTCACAGCCTCCGGAGGTGCCATACGCCAGATTTTTTTTAAAAAAAAACTTTTCCAACAAATGTTTATCTGTTTATTTTTTTCCAGCTTTTTGATGGGGCACACGTAGTTTATAGATCACAATTCCCAGCTGTGCTGAAACACACAAACAGCCTCAATATGCTCACAATTTCAGACTCAAAAAGTCATTAATAAGGAACTCCTTCCAGGTCAAGCTTCTGTTCACCACCTTTTCCTAAAAATGGCTTCCGGAATAAGCTTGCCTGTCTCACAGCAGAGAGGGGATTGTTAATGGCCTCTTGATTTAGGGACGAAACTCAGAGAGGGGAATCCCTAAAGCCAGCTTTATCTCTAATTTTGATGGTAAGGAAAATACAGCACTGGTTTACCTTTGCTGCCTTCTGCGCAGTTACTAACAGCTTCAGCATCATCATCCTCTTTGCCGCCAGGGTCATCTTCAGCCACTACCACTGCCCAGTGCCTGCCATCCCATGACCGTTGGAGCGATCTGTTTCCTTCTGCTGATGTGGCCGTTACCCTTGGACATGCCAAACTCCCTCACATTAAAGTGTGCATTCAAGAAGGAAGCAAGTCAAGCCAGAATGATCTCCAGAGGTAAAAATGATGAAACTGAGGCTGTCCTACTTGGGGCCCATCCGGAGAAGACGGGATTCTCTGGAAAAGAAAGTCGTGCTGGGAAAAGTTGAAGGCAGCAGGAAAAGAGGAAGACCCAATACGAGATGGACTGACTACCTAAAGGAAGCCACAAGATTGAGTCTACAAGAGCTGAGCAGAGCTGTTGAGGACAGGACATTTTGGAGAGGGCTCATTCAGAAGGTTGGCATGAATTGGAGGTGGCTTGATGGCATGTAACCAGAAGAAGGTCCCCTGAAATCACAGTCACCAACAGAAAAAAAAGTGCAGAGAATTATTATTGTTCATGCACCACGTGGGTTCTTTCCCAGGAAGGCTGTTGAGTGTGCAGAATTTGGCAGCTCCTAACACAAAAGAACAGGTGGGAAATGAAAAGAAACAATCAGGAAGAAGACAGGAAACCTTGCTCATATCTGGGGAAGTTTGGGCGTGACGTCTAGGCATTGTAAGACTCTAAAACCTGCAGGGAATGAGGGAGAAAAAAATTGAGCAGCTTCTTTTACCCTACACCTGCCTAGTTACGAAATCGCAGTGATGAGGGATGGCCACAGTGGGAACTGTCTATTTTGTTTTAGTTTCCTAGGCGATTTGTTCGGAGGAGAACTTTTAATAACAGAGGGAAGCATGAGAAACGTGGCACTTCCATATCTTCCCTTCTCAGGTTTCAAAGCCATGGCTCCTAAATTTTTTGAGTCATGGCTGCCTTTTTAGAATTACTGAATAAAAGGCCTTTTTAAATGGGATAAAGTCATCTTTTCTCAGAAAATAGAGGCTTTTTTCTTCTCACAAAGGGCCTGTTTCTCATACATACAGATACACACTAACTTTAATATCCCGCTCCAAAAAGTCAAGGAAGACATTATTTAACAAGGGCGGCAACACATAGAAGGCAATCCGCAACCCCCTTGGCGGCCACGATCCACAGGCTGAGTGATACTGGTTTAAAGGAATGCTTTGTATTGGAAGAGGCTTTCTTTCAGGAATCAAGGGGAGACCTGAAAGCAAAAGTCTGGGATTTCGTGTTTTTTTCCTTGCGTTTTCAAAAGAAAGGGTATTCCTTTCTTGCAGCTTTCCTGTCGCCTGGCATTGACTCGTCTCCTTGCTCCTGGGCCCTGCCTGCCTGTCCACAGGCTCAAGCCTCTGTGGACGTGAACAACGCCCCTGAATCTGTGGACCTCTCCACATTTGTTATGCTTTATATTTTTGGAAGACTCTGCCTTTTTTTTTCTGCCGCAGCACTGCCATTCCCTTGGAAACTAGAGGCCCTGGCTGGGTGGGTTTTCATCATCACGTCAAAAGAGTTAAACATTTAGGAGACTCATTTCTCCTCTGACTTAGTAGGAGGAACGGGAACATGCCGTTTGGTCTCTGTGGGACCAGCTCTTCCGATGATCTCTGTAGAGTGAAATAAAAAAGCTAGCCCCGATTCGTACACGCTCTTCGTCTTCTCTTGCAGCCTGAAGAGTGGCCGCCCACTGCTCCCGTTCTCTCACTTTTTCTTCCAACAGGGCAACGTGTTGGCATTTGCTGCGTCCGCATGCCGGGTTGTTCTCAGGCACAACGACA